GTGAATAATCTCGCCTTAGCTAGCTTATACCATGGATAATAGTGCAGAGGTGTCAGGTTTAACTCAGAATTTCCTGGCTTTTGTTGATCTGTTTCACAACCAGATTATTTAAAGATTTCTGTTGTGTTTAAAAACTGAATGAAAAATTTGAAAGAAACTATTCCACCGAAGGCTATTGAGTGGATAGTCATTCAGGCCCACTCCAGTCTGCTGGACAGTTTGTTAAAACACTTAAAAACATGCACTGTTTACCTGAAAACTAGATGAGGTTCTGGGGTTTTTCCAGTGTACTGGATAACTGTAGTATCTGTAACAATAAGCAAAACCTTAAGCATGTTTTCTTTATTTATTCTTTTATGTATTTAGCTCAAAAAACCAAATTTGTTTAAACAATATCGGAGAATCATTTTCCTTTGCCAGTTTCTTTTAAGCATTTTTTTCTTTTTCATAGAAAACAATCATGAGAAAATTTTCACAACTGGAATACATCTTGTTTAAAAAAACAAAGGAGATGTAATATTTGCTCTTGATCAAGATTTCTCATGTAAAGCTGCAGCTGAGAGCAACATTTTTTTTTTGGTCAATTTCCAGCCAAATATATCTTGCTGCGGAAGAAAACATTATCGAAAATCCCAGGGTACTTTTTGAAAGAATAGGGGTGTTAACCCCAGTGTTCTGGCCAAATTGTAAATGGGTAATTACATTCCAACCACTTAAATTCTCCCTGTAATTTCAACTTGTAGCAGGATTCTTTACCGCTGTACCCAAGTCTTACGTGTTGTTGTTGTTCATTGTTAATTAGTTGTGCTTTTGTGGGGTATCAAGCATTTCCTATACGTACTGTCAAACTGTGTTAAGTTGAGAGATCACTTACCTTAGCTTGTACCAACACATTCAAAAAAGGCCTCAATTTACCTCAAACCCCAGAACATCTGAATGACTTTCACATCCCCAGTCTCATCCAAATAAATGAAGTTTGACTGCAGATAGCTGGTCTAAATTAGCAGAGCTTGTAAAGTGCTTTAGGATCCATTTGTACAAAAGGAGCTCTATAAATATAAGATCGTTATTATTTCTGACATTTAAAAATGCAAAAGGAGCACAGATTGCCAAAGAAATCATTGTCTAAAATCAGATTCTGCAAGGATTTTTTTTTAATGCTAGTTGCCACATTGAATTTCCTAATGTGAAGCTCACAAGAAACTCTGTGAAGCAGATAGTCACCAATGCAGCAAGCAGGATGCAGAGAGATGCATTTCAGGTACTCCCGGATTGAAACAGGTATTTACCAGGGGTTTGGTAAGCATTCCCTACTTTAAAGGGATTCTAACAGGATTAATAGGCCTAAAACCAAACCTAAGGAACAAATTCAGCTGTCGTTTGGGTTACAGCAGATGCAGTGAGCCACTGTCTATTCTTCCACTGCCACTTTTGCAGCTCAAAGTGACACTGTGATAAACCAAAAAAAAAAGAGATATTTTTAGGTAGTTTAAATTTGAGCTCCAGTCCATCAAACTTTAATACACTTGTGGTTTGAGCTTCCAGTGCTGAGAGGTCTAAACTGTCATTGACTTCAAGAGGACAGAAAGGTTGTAAGTCTTCAGACGTGCTCCGGTCCCTCAGCAAATGCAGTCCTAGGATGTGGAGATCGATCTCACCTCAGTCCCAGGATTCCTAAAACTTCCTTTTAGTTATTATATTTTAAAGCACTTTGTGATGTTTTCATTTTGTCTTCAGTACTTACACAGTGGTGCTTTACAGAATACCAGATGATTCTCTGCTCTGATCCCTGAGCTTAAGGTCTGGATCAACTTGTAGGAACTTCCAGCTAGTGCACCATTAGAAACCAAGAGCATCTATAAAAGCTTGACTTCTCGTAGGAAGTTGAAATGCAGCTACTTCACCTTTCCTGTTACTTTGGCTTCTGTTGCACATTGCAGGAGCTCTCAGACTTTGCAAAGCCCACCAGGGACTTCACTATTGCGTTCGGTTTTACATACAAGATGCTATGCTGATGGGCAATAGTATAAAACTTTAAAACAGGCAGACAGATGAGATGAAATCTAGGACCCACTGAAGGGAGTTTCTCATTGACTTCAATACCGCCAGCATTTCACCCTGTGGAATGTAACCTATGCTTAAATCAGCCTCTGTACCAGATGACTAGAAGAATGGCTAATGTAACACCATTTTTTTAAAAAGGCTCCAGAGGTGATCCTGGCTATTACATACTAGTAAGCCTAACTTCGGTACCAGGCTAATTGGTTGAAACTATAGTAAAGAACAGAATGATCAGATACATAGATGAAAACAATGTGCTGGGGAAGAGACAACACGGCTTTTATAAAGGGATATCATGCCTCACCTATAGGAATTCTTTGAAGATGTCAACAAGTATGTGGACAAGGGGGATCCAGTGGATATAGTGTACTTAAACTTCCAGAAAGCTTTTGACAAGATCCCTCACCAAAGACCCTTAAGCAAAGCAAGCAGTGATGGGAAACGAAGGTTAGGAATAAATTATCAGTTTTCACAATGGAATGAGGTAAATAGCGAGGTCCCCTAAGGATCTGTATTGGAACCAGTGCTGTTCAATATATTCATAAATGATCTGGAAAAGGGGGTAAACAGTGAAGTGGCAAAGTTTGCAGAAGATACGACGTTACTCAGGATAATTAAGTTCAAAGCAGACTGCAAAGAGTTATAAAGGGATATCACAAAACTGAGTAACAAAATGGCAGATGAAATTCAGTATTGAAAAGTGTAAAGTAATGAACATCTATACATATAAAATGATGGGGTCTAAATTAGCTGTTACCACTCAAGAAAGAGATCTTGGAGTCACTGTGGATAGCTCTCTGAAAACATTTGCTCAATGTGCAGCGGCGTTCAAAAAAGCAACAGAATGTTAGGAACCATTAGGAAAGGGATAAATAAGACAAAATATCATAATGCTACTATATAAATCTATTGTACGCCCACACCTTGACTACTGTATGCAGTTCTGGTTACCCCTTCTCAGAAAAGTTACATTAGAATTGGAAAAGGCTGCGATCCAGAAAAGCTCTCACTTAACTTTAAGGACAAATCCCATTGACTTCAATGGAATTACTCACATACTTACTGTTAAGCACATGCTTAAATGCTTTGCTGGGTGAGGACCATAGAAGCCCTTATTAGTTAATGGACAGACACACTCTGACTTAACTGGGTTTTGAATCAGGCCTCTAATGGGAAAAGATCTCAAAGCATTTTTCAGTATTATTGTAGATACAGCACCAACAGTGTGGTAGGAATTTTAGACGTGTGAATAGAAGCAGTGAAATCTTGGCCCCTTTGATGTCAATGGAAAGAATCCCATTGACTTCAAAGGGGTCAAGATGTCATCCAAGGTCTCTGCCCTGAAAAGTTTCAAGTCTAAATATTATTAAATAATAAAACACTATTCAGGCATTATTTATCCCATCGGTCATAAGGGGACAAGACTAGGACTAGAACTCCCATTTCTTCTGGTCTTACTCTGTTATAAACCTTCTCTCTTTCTGAATAGTTGCAGTCACATGTTATCAATATCTGCAGCCCCAACAAAAAGAGTATGCTGAAAAATCCAATTTAAAAAAAATATACAGGCTGTTAAAGACGTTTTATTGCGAGGGAAAAGATCCGTTTTCTTATTAAAAAGGCAGAGACTGAAAATAATGAGGGAGACATAACAAGAAAGCTCCAGTCCCAACTGGCCTGCTTAAAAGGCCAAGCCACCACCACTTTGGACATAAACTAAGTGAAACAATGCAAACTTGGCCGCATGCAGAGCCAGGCAAACTGTAAGGCCTCACAGAGTTTTTGATCACTATGGCCCCAATCTTGCAATGAACTCTACATGGGCAGACCCCTGCACTGGCACAGAGGTCCATAGCAGCTCTTCACAGATGCAAGGTCCATTGGAGGGGAAATCAGTTTAGAATTGAAGCCTATGTCCTCCCATCCAGGACTAATATTATTTGTATATGGTAGGGCCCACAATGAACTACCTGATTTCTAGACATTCAAGAAGGGATGGCCCTTCCTCAAAGAACTGCTAATCTAAAGACAGAGGCTAGGGGAAGGGGAACAACCAATAGAAGTATCTGATCCAACACTGATGCCCTTGTTCTCTGAAGTACTATTATTTATACTATGATACTGCCTATAATGTGTTAGGGGTTAGCCAAACACAGAGGAAGATATAGTCCCTACCTCTAGGTGTGCACAATCTGAATCCATAAGAGAACCTTAATATTCTTTTCCTATTTATTTTAAGTGATTTGCATTCACCCTGATCAGACAGTGGCCAATGCCAGGTGCCCCAGAGGGCATGAACAGAACAGGGAATCATCAACTGATCCATCCCCTGTCGCCCATTCCCAGCTTCTGGCAAACAGAGGCTAGGGACACCATCCCTGCCCATCCTGGCTAATAGCCATTGATGGACCAATCCTCCATGAACTTATCTAGTTCTTTTTTGATATATATAAATATATATCTACACACACACACACAACTATCATCACTTTCATCCTCTCCTGCCAAGAGCATGCAGTGCTCAAATGGTTAATGGAAAATCACTTGACAACAAGCCTTTGCCATCTGCTCCATCTGGTACTCTAGCTGCAAAATGCATAGAGAACACAACTCAGAGAGAGAGAGAGAGAGAGAACTCTGTGGTTTAAATGCATGTGTGCTGTGTTTACACAATGCAGCATGTGCACTTGTTGTTTTCCTCAGGTCTCAGAGCAGGGGGAAAAGGCAGCATTTTCTAATAGAGAGCATGAAGGTTTTACCTCCAACAGGAATATCGTAAGAGAGGATTATGTAGCTTTATCCTCAATAACCAGCAGCTTCACCTTCCCAGGCTTCTGCACTGTCACTTCCAAATAGTGTTTTCTTATTAAACAGCCACTCTAAAATATGCAGGAATTACTGTATTTTTAGGCTTCCCTTTGGATGCAAAGTTATTTAAACATCATCCAGTTTGGGAAGCACTATTAAAAAATGAAACTGGCAAGTAGCCATATTCTTTAACCTGTTGTAACTGTAGTTTTGACAGACTCTGGCTGGTAATTTGTATTGTACTTGTGCCTCAGCAAATATCCTAATGAAAAGCCTGAACTTATAGTAAACTTATTACTTACCAGGGACAATATAATATTTGCAAGAAATCTTGGGTGTTGAGGCCTACAGCTCAGGAGGGATGTTTTCCTAAATTAAGCCAAATAGAATTTGTGGCTATTTCTCATTCACTAACATTTGAATAGATATACAATATATTATCTGTCAATAAGAACCTAGCTCATTCAGTTAAAAAAAATAAACAACTATACTTTTCTCATTGGCTGAAACACACAAGCAGGTCTGTTCTCTAAGCCAATAATATCCTGCAAACAATATCTCTTCCCCTTAAATTAGCTTACTAAATAAACGCATCTGGGGTGAAATCCTGGCTGTGTTGAAATCAGTGGCAAAACTCCCATTGACTTCAATGGGGCCAGTATTTCACTCCTGGAGGGGTGAGGCAGGCGGAGAAGTGGCCTTTGAGGTAACTATGGACCTGCTCTATTTTTTGAAAGCTTTTAGCAGAGTAAGTCCAGAGTCCCATGTGAATGTAAAGGAACCCAGGGTGATGTAGGAAAGTCTCGCAGAGAAAGATCAGTGATTTCAAGATCATGAATCCTACTAAATTAGACATCATTACTGAACTACTGAATCACAAATCTTACAAAATGATTTAATCTAAAGGGCACTACTCAGCTGGCTCAACAGAGATAAATAACTGGAATAAATAACTAGATCAACACCTCCTGAGAAAGAAACCCTCGTATCGCATATACCATATGTGGCAGCAGCAGAACAGTATCCTAAGTAGAAACCATCCGTATCCAGGAACTATGTAATCAATCAAAAGAGCAAAAATGACCAGAATAAGGCTGGGGTTTCAAAGAGGACTGGCTAAAGGAGTCAGGTGACCAGCTCCAATTTACTTAATCCCAGCCTAAGTTATTGACAACAAATCATCTAACCAGGTCTAACCCACACCCACTTATTGCTTACAGAAAGTACAGCTGACATGCAATGTTGTCACTCAAAGTGCAACATTCCCCACAGGGCTGGAGGCAGGAGTGGCTCCAGGGAGAAGAATTCTGAGGAGCCCTTATCAATTTGTTTTGAAATGGCTTTATAAATTTACTGTGTAAGATGCAATTTGCAGACTCTGAAGCTCAGAAAGGTTCACATTGGAACAAACCAAATGTTTCCCATGATGGAATGCCACTGCAAATCCATAGACCGAGGTTTGGCTAATAACAGCATCATGCCTATATGGTGGGACCAAAGTAAGACTAGACCTTGTCTTCCCTGTAGACTTTACTTAGTCTCACCTCTGAATTGGTCCTATGCCTCTACAGACAGCAGATATCTATAAATATTTCATAGCTATAGTGTTATAAAAATAACCAGCGTAAAATGTGTTCTCACCTAAGGATATACAATGGGGTGGTGGAGGGGAGAGGGAAATTACACTGTTCATAAATACACATTTATTTGTTTCTTTAGAAATGCATAATTACAGCATTTGATAGCATTTTTTCCTTAGAAAAGTAGTTAAGCAACAATACAAACAAAATTGTTAGTCTTTTGCAAATACAATTTTTCATTACACTGAACAGAAATCACCAGCCAAAGGGTAATACTTGCAGTATGGTTTTTTTCTTTTTTTAAACATTTTCTTTTTTTGTTATAAACACCTTAGCAAATAAAAAAGCCGTTTAAACAATGAAAAATATTTGAGCTCTTGATTTCTATATGTGATAAAGCATGTACTGCAAAGCAGCAATGTGTTCGATAAGAGAGCTACGGACATTCAGTGGTACGAGTCACAGAAGAAATGATGGGATAAAACATTAACTTGGTTTTAATGTTTTGACTGATGAGGTGTTTTATTTTTTTCTCATGGAGGGAATATTTTTCCTTAAATACCTAAGGGATGAACCTGTATATTTAGAGGGCCAACTCCTCAGCTGGTGTAAAGGGATGTAGTTCCACTGAGTCAGAGCTACGCTGATTTACACCAGGTGAGGATCTAGCCATGTGGGTAAAAACAAACAGACCAACAGAACAGTGATATTTACAGGAGACGTAAATGAAAATGTCTGTTAGTCTGATGGTCACATCCTTTCTCCTGTTGTTGTACGTGGGCAGCAACCCTTAGCTTCTGACTGTGGTCACTGGCATCTGGATCTATGAAGCTTCCACAATTCTTGCCTTACTCGATCTGGATTGCTCCGTGTTCTATCTGCATTTCTGGCTGGATAGTTGATTGAAGGGAATCTGTGCTCTATGGAAAGAAACAAAAAAAATGAATTCATATTTTACTTCAAATTATCTTCTCTACGCAAATGCATTAAAGAAGATGCTAAAAGCAAGTTACTCAAGATCTTTAATCCCCGCTCCACCACTGACTTGCTATGTGGCCTTCTATGCCAGTTGCTTCACTGTCTCATCCTCCCCACCTGGGAGGAAGGGATAATGTCACTTACCTGGCTCACAGGAGCATAGGGAAAACTGCTGAGTACATGTTTGTATAGCATTTTGAAAAACATAAAGCTAATAAAAATGCAAAGTGTTATTAAAACACTATATCTTTTTTGATGCTAAATATTTTATTATCTTCCTTTTGGCCACATATAAATCTCAATTAATTACCAGATCTTCCTAATGTGTCCAAAATGAAAGGAGTGGTTTTTTTCCAAAGATGGGCAGAGAATGTAGGAGAACCATTAGTGCCAACCCAACTTTTGAGTTTTGGTAAAATGCCATCTAAAATAAATAAAATACTTAGGAAGCTGCTCAGAAAATAAATTGTAAATCCCAATTTTTTAGAAAAGCCGGAAAGGATGACGATCAAGGGGACTTAAACCAGAGCAAAGTAAAAAGAAGACACATGCACACACAAAGTTTAAGCAGTACACCACTCCCAGCTCTCCCTCCAGTATGGCTGCAGTTACACTGACATAAAGGTGCTTAATGTTCGTACGGGAAGGGGAATACACTATTCTGTTAAAAGGCACCTTTATATTGGTATAACTCCATCCACACTAAAGGTTGTATCAGTACAACCATTTCAATAAAAAAAATCAAAACCCTAACCAAAATAGTTACCGCAACCCAAAACTTGTGTGTGGATCAGGCATACACTGGAATTGAAATGGGAGTTTCGATAAGTTTTAGCACAGTAACATTCCACCTTTACCGTGTACAATGGGCCTTTTTGTATACTCCTCCTGGGGTTCTCAGACAAACAAGACAGGCGCATTTAAGTGCAATTCACACCTAATAAACAAGGTCAAATAAGAATAAAAGTACTGTAAATAATCCTGGTGTTTTCTGGGAAATTAACTTTCTCCCTCTAAAAGGAGGCAAAGAATTCTCGATTCCTACAGAGAGGAAATAGACCTGTATGAACAGGATTAAAAGAAAAACAAACCAAAACCCCATACAACTGATTTACTCTTAAAAAGAAAAAAGAAAAAAAGATGTTTGCATTAAGAATGTGAGTTATTCACATATTGGTCCAGTCAAGTGAGGCCTCCAAGTGAGTAGCTAATGTGGAGAGCCTCAGGGGTTTGTGACAGAGATTCTGCATGAAGCAAAGTGAACCTAGATTGTCATATAAGTTGTACTTTGAGCCAACTGATGCTCTGGGAAAAGGACAGGGTGCAAGAGCAATAGAGTAGCTACACTGCCTTTAGAGGAAAAAGGTACTTTTTGGCACCCTATTTACTGCCCTAATAAAGAAAAACTAGTATCAACACTTGGGATGGGGCTTCAGAGAAACCAGGAGTGAAACACAGCTAATGGTTTTCCTACCCAAACACTGCTGGACTGTAGTGGCTTATTCAAATAAAAATACTGTGAGGTTCAACTTGTCAAAGCTTTCTTCTTAAATTAAGGTTTCATTGTGAAATTAATTCTTGCCTGCTTTTTTGTGTTCTGTTGCCAGTACTTACATGTAGCTTCAATTTTTTTTCCTGTGGAATTCTTTGAGTCATTTGATTGCTTATTTACTTGTCCTATATAACAGTGCCAATCAGAAGAATAATGCTAACAGCTTGTCAACAGCTAAGCTTTAAAGCAACTACCTAAACACCTGGGGGAAAAAAATCTATAACACAAGCACCGACTATATATCCAGGATTCAGGCTATCAGGCCAGAAGTACGAGACTGTTTGAAGAGCTTGCAAGTGAGCTTGCATTGTGTGGTTTTCCCCCCACGTTAACCAAAATTTGAACCCCAATCGGGAGATTTCAGTGAAAAAAATAATACGTGATATTACCACATTTTGTTCTTGCAAATTAATATGTCAAGAATCATTAGAGTTTCTATAAGTAAAGAATGAAATCAGGACATGAAAGTATGCAAACTACTTCTAGGCCCTGAATATCAGCCAGATCTCAACCCGACCTCTGGACATGCAGTTGCAATTTTGTGCCTGCGATGCACCGCTGACATACTATTAGTTAGATTTCTAAGTACCTGATTTGTGAGCACAAATTACACTGGTCTACAATTTTTGAGAAGTCGTCTGCTTCAGAGATAAAATGTGCTATTTATTATGTATTTTGATGTGCTGAATTCAAATATGACAATTAAAACAACTGACTGGCTACTGTTTCTAAGATATTTAAGTTTTTACATTTTATGTCTATGTATATTGTGTAGATAGTAGAGTTTTAATCATAAATTGTAAACCTAGGTCTTTTCATGTGTTTATGGTTGCTTTACATGATAATATTTCACCTGTCCTGTTTATGTAACACTTGAAAAATCAGCAAAAGGGTTATATAAATAAAATTTATTATGAAACAAAAGGCAAAAAACTATTCTGTACATAGTTTAGTCCTATTCAGTGTCTACTCGGCGCTTCTTGGCTTGTCTCTTGTATTCATTAAATGGAGCATCTCTTGTCACTGTCCAGCAATAGTCTGCAAGCACTGATGGGCTCCATTTGCCCTGATAGCGTTTCTCCATTGTTGTCAATGTCCTAGTGAAATTGCTCGCCGTGCTCATCGCTCACTGCTCCGCAGTTCGGTAGAAAAAAATCTAGATGAGAGTGCAAAAAATGTGTCGTGACAGACCCAGACCAGTGG